CGTTGCATTGGGTTTGCCAAGGAGTTTCCAGTGCCCCTGCAAAATCGAAAACCATGAAAAGGAGATTCCAAGTTTCCAAATGGGAGTGACCCCCTGCGCTCATGAGCTAGAACGGTTCACACACACACACACACCCGCGCGCGCGCGCCCACGTCTGTGTAATTGCTGAATATAGGTATATACATATATATGTCTTCATATATAGTATGGCAATAAACCATATGTGAAATGTACACGTGATCATATACATGTACATATACATATATACCAGCTGCAGCTGATGCCGACTTTGCGCTCGCGCAAAGTGCTCGTCGTTTCTCCGCGGAATGCGATCTCAAGAGTTTGCATTCTTTTATACATGTCTTCTTGTATCGCCGGGCGACGGTATCCTAATAGCGTATCGCTTTAATTCGGGTTAAATTGCACATGTGGGGTTCTCCCGTCTTTTAATTTTGAGGTCACTGCTCCTTTGACACATCCTGGCTCACCTTGGGTGTTGGCCTCAGCCAAAGATGGGGAGCCAACATTTTTTAACAAGCTACCATGAGGTATGTTGTTCTGACAAGGAGACATACCCAAATACACTCAGGTACGTTGTCCGCAGGTGCAGTACTTACTAAAAGCACGTGCAGACAGACCACTTCAATCAGTGCAAAGCTGTTTTTTCGTCGATATATCTGCGCAAAGTTCCAAAGGTTGGAGAAGGATTCCTGGTCGGGGGTTCCGAAGTGTTTCAGGAATACAGCACTCAAGCGGCCGGAGCTTGATCTTACAATTAAAAAGCTCATTGCCAATGGGCTTCATAAAAATGGGCCCATGACCCGAGCCTACGCAGCATCGCATCGCAATTGCCGAGGCCTCCGTGCTACGTGCGGATGAGATTTCGCAAGCTCTACTACAAATAATTCAAAATACATCAAAATGGATATGGAAGGGAATGCAAATTACCGAGGAAATTACGTACGATTGATTGATTTGATCATATCAATACATCAATAGAAATTTCATATCTGATTTCCATCATGAAAGATGATTTTATTCGAAATAATTCTGGAAGTTAGTTATGGCGATGAAACGCGAAATCAAAATTGAAAAACAAAAAATATCATTGAAATCAAATATTGATTGATATAATGAAGATATTATGGTCATTTGAGAAATGAAGTCAAGCATTGATTTTGAATATTTATTTGTAATATGATTTCTTTGAGGATATATAGGATATTATCAAAAAGAAATTTCGAAATTTGATTTGAAGTAGATCAAATATTGGATTATGAAATAATTTTTTCTGATATAATAAGATATTTTTCATTTTTTCTTATTCAAAATAATTATGATACGAAATAGAAAGATGATAGAAGAAATATCAATAGTTAATTGAAATGATATATTCTGGATATGATTCGGAATATTCGGGTAGATAGATTTATACGCGTTTCTTTGAGGTGGTGCACACATAGCTGAAGAGAGATATATGAAATAGAAGGACCGGATTTGAGCGGGAGGTTGCGCGATTAAAAAGTCTTTGATTGGGTGTCTGTGCGGAGGAACGCGCAGACCCGGGGGCCGTAGATTTAATCTTTTTTAGAATCTATGGATTGGTTATTTTCGTCACGCGCGGTCTCATATCTTGATGATTTATCGGATTGCGCATATATTCTTATATGATGATTATTCATCAGATTTCTTATTATGAATATTCTCAAATAAAATTTTTCGCTGTTCTAAGCAGCTGATCAATTTAAATATATATATATTTCTCTATCTTATTTATAATTTCAGATTCAAATTATATTGATTTTATTTGAAGATTTTTTATTCATAAAAAAAGATAACTGATGATATTTGGGAAAAAAAAAATTATATGGTCATTTATAGATTTTTCTTTTTGAGTAGAATTCTATTCTATATCTATTTATCTCTAGTTATATTTTCATGTCTATAGATTAATATTGAGCTATTTGATTTATGATTATAGATCGAATATAATTTGAATATATTCATTTATTCTTATTTATAGTATTTTATTTCTATTCATCGTATTTTATTGAATCTCTTTCAATATATTTATGATAAGATATTTACGATTCGAAAAATTCTCAAGAAATTAAATTGTTTCGGAGAATTTAAAGAATCTGATATTTCTAAGATTGTTAATCTCGATGAATGATCTAAAATCTAAATTCATATTGATTGTCTTCTCTCCGATTTTTTGCATGTCTTTTTTGCGATTATTTATATGCGATTTGGTCGTTGATGCAGATCGTTCTCTTCTCTCTTCTAAAATTCTTAGGTCTTTGCGGATAGATACGATTGAATAAAATTCTAAAAAAAAAAAAATCTCTTTCGGAATTATATTTGATGATCATTCTATCGATCGGCATCAAAACTAATTAATTAAGATATTGGTCTTTCAATTTCTCTATATTTAGATCCGGGATTTTGATTTATCAATCTATTTCTCTCAGAATTTATTATAATATTTCGATTTGACTATTTATCTTCTATCGAATTTATTGATTTCGATTTAATGATCTTTGGAATTTATTTTTCTATTTCTTCTATTTTTTCTAGCGGATTTTAAATGAAGATCTATCGAATGATCGGAATAGTATTCTTTTAAGTTATAGACGAAATTATTGATAGATTAATTTTGGAATGGATTCGATAAATTATTGATGATATCTAATTTCTTAATCTCTCTCATTGAAATTTTATTTATCAATGAAATTAATCGATTGAATTTCGTTGGTTTATTAGATTTATTGCTCTAATATTCTCCGATATATTGGTCGTCTTTATATATATTAGAATTCAATCATTTGATTTCGTATTCGATCTTCTTATATAAATCTAGATTGAAGTATTCATATTTATAAAATGATTCTGAATATTCTAATATTCTATTCGAAAATTGAAAATATTGATTTGAAATTGATTTGATGAGATTCTATTCTGAAATTATATGATATATTTATTGAGATATATTTATTGATATCTCTAGAGATATATTGAATAGAATTTTCTTTGATAATTCGAATATCTTTTCTTTTATTCTTTCAACTAATAATTCGATATATGATTTTGAGAATATTTCGATTCATATCTCGAATCATATTGATGGAAAATTCTAGAATAAAAGATTCAAATATTTTATTAATTTTTGAAAAATATATTATAGAGATGAAAAGAAAATCAGAATTTTCTATTCATAATCATATAATCTGAAAATCTAAGACGATCTCATAGCTATTAATAATTTCTTATTTTTTGGGAAATTATTATCCGAGATAATCATTTTTCATATATATCAATTAGAATATCTATGAAGAGAATATTCGAAAATACGATTATAATAATGATGAAAATATAGATATCATTATAATTCAAATAGTAATCTAAATCTCCGAATTGATATATTTTTCTGAAAAATGAATTATATAAATGATTTTCGATTAATTATTTTCTAAAATATTTTGAAAGATTGGATATGAAGATAATCTCTGCAGCTCTATAAGATATAGGAGATATTGACGAACCCGAGTCTACGAGAGAGAGAGAGAATGAAAGTTTGGGAAAAATATGAAAGAAGAAATCTCTAAAGAATCATTGATATTTTAGATTATCTGATAAATTCCTAGATTCGGACCCAATCGTTTCTTCTCCCCCCGAATCTCTCGTATCGT